TGCTTTTCACCTTAAAAAAATATTGTCATGTAAAAAAAATACATCTTGAAATGAAATGTATTGAACTGATCATTTTTAAAAAAAACTTTAAAAACATTTTTGTAATACGTGTACATTTAAAAAAAAATTATAAAATGAATTGATATTTACCTTATTATTTGTCCTGCTACAATGCAATGCTGAAAAGTAGGGAAATTCTAAAGTGTTATAATTTGCAGTTTCTGCGCAGAGTCTCCTGTAACATCTCAGTGGACATCAGTGAACATATAAGACCTTTCTTTGGTATGTGCATGTCTCTGAAAACCACTAGTCAAATACTTGTACATCAGTCACTGACAGACCCCGCCTGCTCCCTCCTACTAAACAGCAACTTTTTTCTCCCCTATACTTGTCCCTTGCTGGCTGTCTGGACAGCATCACTGCAACAGATCACAAAGTAGGCTATCACTGCAGACGAACCTGGCTCCTAAAATCTCAGTTCACAGACCTTTGTTTTGGTTTGTAAATATTTGATGGGAAATATGCACTTTAGCTCATGAACTGAAAAACCCTTCACTGGTTTGTCATAAGATCATCAGAGTTCATAAAATACTACAAAGCAGAAACAGTTTACAAACTGTATAAAATATCTTGAACACTTGCCAAGTTGGTGCAAGACTGTTTTTTTCCATGTTTCCATGATTGAAAACAATTTAGTTTATTTGCAAAGTGTCAGAATAAAAGCAACAATGCAATAGAAAAATCACACAGGGTCCTGCCATGTTGAATAATATTAAGGTACAGAGCAGAAGGGCTATGACTCTATTTAGCTAACAGGCTGCCTGTTGAAAGACATGAAACCTGCAGTTTTCCACTGGTAGTTACTCTGCAAAGTGGCATACATATAAAAAAATAAAAGCCTATACTGCAGGTTTGCAGCCTGCTCTACAATGTTATTACATGTTTACTATTATGTAAAACTAATCACAAACTGTGTTCTGGTTTAAAATTGTATTCTTTTAAATTCAAAGTGAGACTATGGGCAAAATAAAAATGATATATATGATGTTGTCACCAGCATTAACATAGCAGTTTTTTTTTCCGCCCCCTCCCCATAACATTAACCATAGTTGTATTACCTGTTAGGTCTAATATTTTTCCACTTCCTGGGTGGTGACATTTTATTCTGCAATGAAATGGCAATGCAGCATTGTCTTCCTGTGGACAGAGTGGTTATAAATAGACATGTTGCTTTAAATTCACTTTACCTAAGCTACAAACAAATTAAAGCCCAACTCTAACTAATACGTTTAAAGAAGATCCAACAACAGGATTTTGTTCTTTGGTAAAATAGTATAGTAAACCACATAAATAAAAAGTGACCATTGTAAGCAGCAACATATGGTTTGCCTAAGCCTTGGACAGCTTGGTCAGCATGTAAATGTGATGAAATCTATAAATAAAGGTCGGTGAAATAAAAAAGGATTCGTATACTGAATTTTATCAGTACAGGGTTTAGCTCCATACAATTATCAGAATACAGCATTTTTCACTATTGCAGGCATTTAATCTCAATATAAACCTTTTATGCTCGTACAATTAAAATGCATTTATTAAGTTTCTATGAACATTAGTGCAATCACTGAATATATTATTACCATAACAGCCCTATTCATCTGATCAAAATATTCCTTGTCTGCATTTATCAGTGAGCACGATCTTGTCCCTGCTAAATGTAAAAAAGAATAGCACTATGGGAAGCAGGCATGTCATGTATAATAAACATTTTATAGAGAGTGCAGGCAGACAGTCTATTGTATGCTATTTGGTGCATCTTAGCAAGGCAGAACTGGCAAACACAGATTCTGTTTAGCTATATGTGGATCACCCTTGTTTGCCCTCATCGTGACTACCCATTCTACGTTAGTACATGATTTTGATATGCATGTGTCCATTGTTTCCTACCCCTTGACAATGTTTCCTTATTGTATTCTGCGCATAGTCTTGAGTCTGGTTTTATTGGTTCATAAACTTTTTATTATGGAAAATGTGTTTAGCTGCTTTGCACAGGATTAATAACATTTAAGCACACTCTAAAGTATACTCTCTTGCCTTGTGTCCAGTACATATTGGAGGCATTCTGTTTTGTAGCATTAGTGGGCCATACAGACTGGCTTGTGAATGGAGCTGAATAAGTCTATTGTAGTGTAATGCTATGTCCTGTGAAGACACTGAAAGGAATGTCAGTGAGGATATACAACCCCTGGGGTGTAGATAGATATCTGCATGTGTCTTTTAGCAACCAGATAAACTTTGTGCCGATTCACTAAAGTTATATGTTTGTTTTAAACTTTCTTTTTCTGGGAATGAAGAGCATCAAGGGACAAGATGTGCTCAGCAACAGACCTGGATATGTTTCTGTTGCACATTTTAAACCAAGTACTCTGCTTTAATGGAAATGTAAAATATAGTTTAAAATGAGTAGCTGTATAAATCACTAAATACAACCAATGAACCCTCTTTTCTTGCATTGGAAGAGAGACTATCGTGGAATCCAGAAACATTAGACTGAACATTTTTTGTCTGTGCCATCCCAACACTGCAACACAAAAAGCTTCTACTGCATCATAGAAATAGAGCTCTTTTCCTTCTTGGACCTTGGAAGCTTTAATATGTTAACACTGTTAATTAACTTTAATATTAAAACAGCTAAATATATTCCAGGTGCGTCAAAACACAAGGTGTACAAAGTCCTACAAGTCATTTATTTAGAAAGCAGCCACAGCCTAAGTAGAAAAGCCTGTTCCCTGCCATCATGCTGTAGAGAAGGTCCGTTGCTCTTTGTGTGGAAGCATGGTTTTTCTACAGAGGCCTGACAAGCACACTGCTGAATCAGAATTAATCAGTAGGTAGGAAGAGATTGACTTATTGCAGAGCTGTAGATCTGACTCAGTAGGAGCCTTGACAGACCACTGCGCCATTTGAAACTTAAAGGTGTTTACTTATCAGGCTCATTAGTAAGTACCTTTCAGTGTGAAATGCTTTCAGGTATTCAATTCAGGTAAGTCAGGGGGTGGGATAGGAGTGGGGGGCTGTCGATGTCACCATGTTTCATGTTATACCCATGTGTAAAAAAAAAATGGTTTTTAAGGTAAACTTTAACCTTTAACTGTGATCCCGCTGCTGTATCATGCCATGATTTGAGCAGACACTTTCACTTTAGCAAGAACCTCCCAGGCCTGCTTTTTCACTTTGTATTTGTTTCATGGCTTTGGCAAGCCTGAGGGTACTGAGGAGTGGAGCTGTGTGTATGGGGCATGGTTTCCCCGATGGCAACAGATTTTTTATTTGTCTGAAGTTTGCAAAAAATTTAGCCCATTTTAGTGTGCTCAAGAATTTCAATTATAAAAAAAAAACTGTAAATGTGTAGACTCATCAATAAAGAAGAAGCCCATTTTAACTCAATATAACACTACGACTGTACTTAGATCAAATATTGTTACTGTTATAATTACATCCTTGATGCCCAAGTGCATTCATTTACAAATTGTTAAAAGGAGAGCTCCAAATTTTTGTAAAATCAGCCCTTGCAGTGAGGCTACCTCCACACTGCAAGGGTTAAATACTCATTTTTCTCTAGGGTGGTAAAAACAAAGAGGAAATACTCACCCAATCCCCCGCAGCCTCTTCTTCTCCTGGCTCCAGCAGTCTAAGGACCTGTGACGTCATCACGTCTAATACAGGTCTATTAGATGTGAAGATGCCGAAGGAGGAAAAACCATTGACAGATCGGAAGGGGAGAGAGGTGAGCGGTCACTGCTGCAGGACTGAGGATCAGGTGAGTATAATGTCTTTATTTTCACCCCTAAACCAAAACGAGCAGTTAAAGTGACACTAAACTCAGGAGTTAATTCTTAAAAAGGCATCCAAGTACCTTAACTATTAACAATAGAGTTTTGGGTCATAAGAATACATTAGTAAATGTTCTCCTGTGACCCAAAAGAGAACTAACACCAAAAAAGGTTTGGCCATAGTTCTGTATTAAGCTACGTGGGGAAATGGAATTTGGGATCAAAACCTTTCTGATTAAAGCTCTTAAAAACTTGAAATTGATTTGTATGTGAAGTACAACGCTTCCCCCTTTAGTTCTGCAGCATGGCAGCAGGTGTCAAGGCTGGAAGTCAGTGTGTTCCTGTGTCCAGCATAAGATCCATCAGCCTGAAGGTGCACATAGACATTAGACACTACAGTCTCCATATCCAGGTTTAGGAATGTCGACTAATCTAATGTCTTTGAGGCTCTGGCAAACTGTTCTTTATGGATAAGGTGAACTAAACCTGCCTGATTTGCTGCTGTTTCTTTTCAAGAACATGACTGATGGAATTGGGAATTGTCTGCATGCTTCTCCTACTCCATTGCTTAAACAGGAGCACTCATTTGACCTTTGCATTCCGGTTTAGGGCAGAAGTAGTACGCTCACCTTAGACAAGCCACAATCCCACTGTTCTCTGATGGTTCTGACCACCTATCGGCCTGTCTCACGAAACATTTTCCTATTCTTGTGTGGCTTAAAACTTCTGGTTCCTGGAATACAGCAGCAATGGAACTTTTATTTGTTTTCAATA